GGCTGAGGGACACTGACGAGCAGGCAGGGGCTCAGGGTTAGTCTCCAAAGCAGGGAGACAAAAAGAAAAAGTTCAGTTTGGAGACACAGTTTGTATCCAGAACCAGTCTAGGGCAGATGGGCCCACTTCAGATGTTAAAATGGAAAGCAGAGGGCAGCCATTATCAAGAGGCTGTGAAAGGGAATACCATATTTCTCCTGTGTAAAGTGTGCCGCCTGATCCAGGTAGGGATCCCCAGCTGCCAACAGGTTCCTAGGACCTTGTTCAGAGAGGAGTACACATGTATGCGTAGTGTGCTCAGGTAAGGGTCTTAGACTGCCAGGCGTATTCCTAGAAAAGGACGGTATGTGCATAGCCCAAAGAATGGGCTTCCAGGCTGCTAAACCGGCTACCCCTAATGAGGCATAAGAGGAGAGTGAAAAAGAAAAGTACTTAACTATCAAACATTCAAATGAAACATAAGACAATTCTTGGATATGTGAGGAACAAATTAATAGTATCTGCTATGTTTCCTGTGGTTATAGGTACTTAGGAAAGAACACTGAACAAAAACTTTTTTTTTTTTGAAGTGGAGCCCTATGTAGCCCGGATTGGCCTCCAACTCCTTATGTAGCCTTGAACCTCCTCCTTCTTCTGCTTTCAAAGTATCGGGTTATAGGTGTGCACCGTCAAGCCCACTTCAAACTATTTCATAGCATAGTTCTGTAGAATCACAGGTACCAACCAGCAGGAGTAGACAAGGCTCAAGTGAGCCAGGCAAACACCTGTAATCCCAGCATTTGGTAAGATGAAGGTTAACAGTTAAAAGCCGTCTTGAGCTAAACGTAGGTTTTCAGAATAGTCTCCAAACATCAGGGTGGGGGGAAAGGGGGAGAAATGGAGAAAAGGCAGAAGCAGTTTCAGATTTGTAGTAGACACTATAAGACAGTGCCCACTTACCCAGCATGGTGGCACTGGCCTATAATTCAAGGTTCAGGGATGTGAAGGAAGGAGAATCAGGAGTTCATCTTCGGTTACATAGCTAGTTCAAAGCCAGCTGGTCTACACGAAACCCTATCGCAAGAGAAAAAGGAGAATGAGACAAAGCTAACCACTTCATAGGGCAGTAGTGACACAGTTCATTGTGGTGGAGAGAGACGGTGCAGCAGTTAAGAGCACTTACTGCTTTTGTAGAGGACCTGGGTTCAGTTCCCAGTGCCCATATTAGGCAGCTAACAACCACCTGTAATTCCAGTACCAAGGGCACCTATGCCCTCTGACCTCTACAGGCACCAGTTCATTCTTGATGCACACAAAATCACACTGAGACACGTAAAAGAAAGAATGTTTTAAAAATATATAGTTTACTATCCCTTATTAAGTACATTCTCATGGCTATGATATTATAGTCCTTCAGATGTTTAATTAGGAGCTCTATACCTTGGGAAAGCCTCATTATCCACCTAGTGAGACACGGGACTACTTATGAAGCGACTGTCTCTTTTCTGTCGTGTATCCTGTAGGAGTGACCTAAGCCAAGGTGACCCTATTCAGGATCATTTCCTATTTAAGAAGACTCTTTTGCAAGTCTGGAAGATGATTGCCAGTCACAGGTAGGTTTCCAGTATGAGATTATCTCCACAACCAAAGGACGTGTTTGGATATGCACACAGAAGGGGATATGTTCATCCTGCAAGTCATGGTTGGAGTGGGGGTACAGGTCTGTGACTTCAGCTGCTGATGTGCCTGCCCAGCACGCGTGACATTCTAGGTCTCATCTGAACATAGCGAACACTGGCCAGGACCTAGCATGCCTATCGTCCCAGCCTTAAGGAGATGGAAGCAATATGATCACAAGTTGAAGGGCATCCTATTTGAGACAGGCCTGAGGAACAAGACAAAACAAAGAGTCCCCCAAACTAAGACCCAAGCCATGGATGAGCCCTCTATCTGTTTTATTAGTCTCTAAGGAGTCATGCTGTGCTGTTTGAATTGCCTTTAGGAATTCGTTCCTAATGCATGTACTTCAAATATATGTGCCTCCTTCCCATATGATGGATTTTCCTTTCCATAGCAATAGGTCCTCAGAGCTGTGGATAAGGCTCCCTAGGTAGAATGCATATATGAAGTTCTCGATTTAATCCTGGTGCTGCATATACCTGCCAGTTCTGGTGGTACATACCCATCAAGGCAGGAGAAGCAGAAATATACATTCATCCTTAGCGGTATAGCAAGTTTGAGGCTAGTCTGAGCTATGTGACACCCTGCCTCAAAACAAACAAAAGGTTGGAGCAATAGCTAGCTCAGCAAGTAAGAATACTTGCTGCCTTTGCAGAGGACAAGGGTTCGGTTCCCAGCACCCACACAGTGGCTCACAACCATCTCTAACTCAAGTTCCAGGATTCAGGTGCCCTATCCTGGATCTGTGGGCGCTGCACACATGTGAGGCACATATATACATGGAGGCAAAACATTCATCCACATAAAATGAAAATAAAAAAAAATGAAAATAAATACTTTTAAAAGGGAAAGAAAAAGATCAGGGTCTCGGAAACCTTGAGCAAATTTTGAGCCTTTAAAAGAGATTATGATAATAGTTAAAATATTTTACAGGTTGGGTCCCCCTCCCCACATTCTTGCTGTTTAGGGAAGTCAACAAGAAATAATATGCTCCTGGGCAGTGATGGCACACACCCTTAATCCCAGCACTTGGGAGACAGAGGCAGGCAGATCTCTGTGAGTTCGAGGCCAGCTTGGTCTACAGAGTGAGTTCCAGGACAGCCAAAGATACACAGAGAAACTCTGTCTCAAAATATATATAAATAATATACTGTTTGTTTTTGCTTTGTAGCGTAGCTGGCCTAGTACTAGAACTCCGTAAGTAGTTGAGACAGGCCTCCAGCTCTTGGTGACCCTCCTGTCTCAGCTTCCTTAGTGCTATGATTTTGTTTACTTTGTAGTTCTCAGTGTTCTTGTCATTAGCCACCATTCTCCTTTGGAGTGACTCCCCAGGGTTTCATTATTCTTTGGGTTTATTTCTTAACAGGTTCAGCAGTCCATTTCTGAAGCCTGTGTCAGAAAAGCAGGCCCCGGGATACAAGGATGTGGTGAAAAGGTCAGTAGGAAAGGGGCCAAGAGCGTGGCTGGTTGCTTTGTTATTTCTTGAGACAGCATCTCATGCGGCCCAGGCTAACTTTAAACTGGCTAGATAGCTGAGGATGGCCTTGAACTTCTTATCCTCCTGACTCTAATTCCCAAATTCTGGAGTCACAGGTATGTACTGTCATGCCCATCTTTTGTGGTGCTGAAGATTAAACCCTGGGTTTAGAGCATGCTGGGCAAGCCTCTACCAGCTGTGCGACATGCCTAGTCTGATTTCTTTTTGTTTGTTTTGTTCTGTGGGTTGCAGTAGCTCAAGCTGGTCTCAAATGGTTGGAGCTCACCTTGAATTCCTAATCCTCCTGCTTCGACCTCTGAAGTGCTGGGATTATAGGCCTGAGGCCCTCAGTTGCTTTTTTTTTTAATATTTATTTATGTATTTATTTATTATGTATACAATATTCTGTCTGTGTGTATGTCTGCAGGCCAGAAGAGGGCACCAGACCTCATTGCAGATGGTTGTGAGCCACCATGTGGTTGCCAGGAATTGAACTCAGGACCTTTGGAAGAGCAGGCAATGCTCTTAACCACTGAGCCATCTCTCCAGCCCCCCTCGGTTGCTTTTATATCTGTCTTTTCTTTCTTTATCCCCACCTATTATTTCCAGTACTCACAAACGGAAGATACATTCCACAGCAATATAAACCAGCTTGGTTAAAAAAATTTTTTTTGGATGTGTTTTCTGTTCCCTGCCCCAACAATACCTAGATTGGTTTTAAACTTGTGGGTTCAAGTGATCTTTCATTTTCTGCTTCTCTCTTAGTTGAGACCACAGATTTTAGAGACAATCTCATGTACCCCATGATGGTCTCAAACTTAGCTGAAGATGATCTTGAACTCTCCAGCCTCCTGCCTCTACCTCTTGAGCACTGCAGTTACAGTTGTTATTACTGTTATTTCTTTTGTTTTATATTTTGTTTGCCATTTATCTCAGTTTGGCTGCTAACTGGAAATATTTCTGCCTCGTTCTTCACAGTGCTACAGTTAAATATGTGTACACCCATCTCTGGTCCTTCCACATTTGACAATATTTCTTGAAGAAAATTTTCAGAGGGATCCCGTGTTCATTTCGGCTGTTAGTTTTAGACATGCTAAGACAAAGACATTAAAGAAAATTAAAAACATTGGTTGAGTGCAATATTTTGAATGTTGGCTTAGTTAATCTAAAATGCTGTCATAATGGAGATGGCTCAGTGGTTAAGAACACTCAATTGCTCTGGCAGAGGATGCAGGTTCAGTTCCCTGTACCCACAGGGTGCTCACAACCATCTGTAACTTTGGAGTTACAATTCCAGGGGGTTTGCCATCTTTTGGCATCCACAGGCATGAGACATGCACATGTTGTGTCTATACCATGTAAGAGAAGCACATATACACAAAATAAAAGTAAATCCAAAACTTTTTAAAAATGCTGTCATAGTCGGGCGGTGATGGCGCACGCCTTTAATCCCAGCACTTGAGAAACAGAGGCAGGTGGGATCTCTGTGAGTTTAAGGCCAACCTGGTCTACGAGAGCTAGTTCCAAAACAGGTTCCAAAAACTACAGAGAAACCCTGTCTCGAAAAACAAAAACAAAACAAAACCAAAAAATGCTGTCATAAACAGTAGCGTATAAAAGGTGATGGGAAAGGTGGTGAGGTGGCCCTGTCACAAGGACCAACCTTGCAGATGTGAGGGCCTGAGTGTGGATCCCCAGCACCTAGATAAGAGCTGGTGCGGGGGTACATACCTGTAATCCCAGTGCTAGGGAAGTGGAGACACGAGCATCCCCAGCCGAGATGAGGAGCTGAAGGTTCAGTGAGAGAGAATAAAAAATAACCTCAAAAAATAATGCAGAGGGCTGGAGAGATGGCTCAGTGGTTAAGAGCATTGCCTGCTCTTCCAAAGGTCCCGAGTTCAATTCCCAGCAACCACATGGTGGCTCACAACCATCTGTAATGAGGTCATGTGCCCTCTTCTGGCTTTCAGGCACACACGCAGAAAGAATACTGTATACACAACAAATAAATAAATAAATATTTAAAAAAATAAAATAAAATAATGCAGAGAACAATTGAAGAGGACACCTGACATCAATCTGTAGCCTTCATGTAGACATGCAGGTACACACACACAACCCACACACATGCATGCACACACACATATACACACTCACCACACATGCATGCACACACACCATACATGCATGCACACACTTACATACACACATTTGTGCTGCTATAATAAAATGCCACAAGAATTAATGAATAATGGAAACTTATTTCTCATGGGCTTGCAACCTAGAAAGTCTAAGATCAAAGTTCCTACAGACTTGGTATGTGGAAGGACTAGTCTCTTCCTCATTTTTTTTTATGGTATATTTTAAATTCACATTCATTTTCTCGAAGAGGAGGGTACATGTCATGGTGTGTGTGTAGGTCAGAGGACAGTTTGTCAATTTGTGATGTTATGTATGTGGATGTGTTGGGATGAAGGGCTAGTGCCACCACCCCCACCCCCAGACTTCCTTTGTTTGTCAGCAGTCACTGTTTATTAATTGACCAGACTGCAAAAATACTATTGTAGATAACTTAGTTCATCTTTCTAATAAACCCATAGATCTTGTCTTTCCCTTCACTGTACATCATGGAGGAGAACATTTGAAGGGCCACAGAAACTTACTTCCTTGAAGCATTTTCAAACAGGATATATTTCATGAATCTTATCTGTCCAAGCCTATGATGCCAAGCTTAGTAATAGGTGGAGCGATTGTTTATCTGTCAAGGCAATTTACTTCCTATTGATTTTGTTGTAATGGTGCTTGTAGGTTAATTCACTTATTGACTTCAGGTTCAGGTACCCACCATGTAATATATGGATCCACAATCTTCAGCATGTTAATTTAAGCCTTGATAAACTTCATGAAGGTGTTCTTAAGGCCTGATGAAGGCAAGCTGGAGATGTGGATCAGTGGTTACTAGTACTTGTTGCTTTTACAGAAGACCCAGTTCCCAGCACCCAGATCATGGCTCACAACCATCCATAACTCCAGTTCTGAGGATTTGATATCCTCTTCTGAGGCACACACATGGTGCACAGACATATATGCAGGCAAAACACTCATACACATAATATACAAATAAATAAATCCTTTAAAAAAAGATCTAGGGTGCTGGAGAGGCGGCTCAGTGGTTAAGAGCACTGGCTGTTCTCCTAGCGGACCTGAGTTCATTTCCCAGCACACACATGGCAGCTCACAGCTGTAACTCCAAGATCTGATCCCTCACACAGACATGCATACCAATGTACATAAACTAAAAATAAATATTATTTTTTTAAAAAAGATCTAGTTGGGTGTACTGGCACAGGCATTTAATCCCAACACTAGAGGCAGAGACAAGTGGATTTCTCTGAGTTTAGCCCAGCTTGTTATATATACATAGTGAATTCCAGGACAGCTGGAGCTACATAGTAAGACCCTGTCTCAAAAAAAAAAAAAATTCTGGTGATGGCAAAGAGGCTGCAATACCTTACAGATCATTGGGTTTATGATCTGTCAATAAAAAAAACCATTTGTCATAGTCACATTTTTTATTTATATTATACAATCTATGTATGTATATGTGTGAGCATGTACTCTGTCTGAGGCGTGCGTATTTTATCAGAGAACAACTTCTGGAGTTAGTTCTCTCCTTCTACAGTGTGGGTCCTGGACATTGAACTCAGGCCATCAGCTCTGACGGCAAACCCTTCCACACACTAAGCCATTTTCTGGCCCTTTTAGTTAACTTTCGTTGCTGTGATAAAATACCCTGGATAATATCGAAAGCAACTTAAAAGATAAAGGGCTTCTTTCTGCTTTCAGTTTCAAATGTTTATAGCCCATTGTGAAATGGAAGACAGGCAAAGAAGGCGTGATCATAGGAACAAAAAGCTGGATGCTCATATTGTATCTATACTTAAGAAGCAGAAAGGGACCTGGGTGGTGGTGGCACATGCCTTTAATCCCAGCACTCAGGAGGCAGAGGCAGGCAGATCTCTGTGAGTTTAAGGTCAGCCTGGTCTACAGAGTGAGTTCCAGGACAGGCCCCAAAGCTGCAGGGAAACCCTATCTTGAAAAAACAAAGCATAACAAAAGAAACAGAGGGGATAGGTAATAGCACAGGTTGTAAAGCCTCAAAGCCTACCCCAGTGACCTTCCAGTAGGGTTCATTGTTCTAAAAGTTTCATAACTTTTAGAATAACGGTGGTGGCGCACGCCTTTAATCCCAGCATTGGGCAGCAAAGGCAGGCAGATCTCTGTGAGTTCGAGGACAACTTGGTTTACAGAGTGAGTTCCAAGGCAGCCAGATCTACACAGAGAGACCTTGTCTCAAAACAGCAACAACAAAAAATCCATAATTTTTCCAAACAGTGCCACCATTCAATTCCTGTCCCCATAAGTTCATGGGGCTAACTTAGTTTATCCTTCTAATAAATCTATCAGTCTGAATACATTCAGTCCAACTTCAGAAATTCCCATAGTCCTTAACAGTACCAATATTTCAAAAGTCCAAAAATCTCCATCTAAAATATCTAAAGCTCAGGACCATCTCTTTTCTAATTTGTTTGTTTGTTTGTTTGAGACAGAGTCTTACTGTGTGGCTCTAACTGGCCTGGAACTCTGGAGATCTGATTGTCTCTGCCTCCTGAGTGGTAGGATTAAAGGTATGTGCACCACACCTAGTTTTTAATTTTTTTAATTATTTATTTATTATTTATACAGTGTTCCGTCTGCATGCCAGAAGAGGGAACCAGATCAAATTACAGATGGTTGTGAGCCACCATATGCTTACTGGGAATTGAACTCAGAACCTCTGGAAAAGCAACCAGTGCTCTTAACCTCTGAGCCATCTCTCCAGCCCCCCTCCTTTTTTAAAAAAAAAAAGATTTAAGTTTTTAATTTTTTAAAATGTTATTATTATTATCATTGCTATTATGTGTGTGTGTAAGTATGCATGTGCACGCTTACACACATACACACACACACATTCGTATGTGGTGCTACAGGAAGGAGTTCAGTGCATAACCTTCAGCAGCCCGTTCTCCCCTTCCACAATGGGCTCCAGGAAATGAGCTCGGGGTGTCAGGCCTGCACAGCAGGTTTGTTCACTTACCTGCTGAGCCATCTTGTCAGCCCCTCTCCTAGTTGTGACCCCGGTAAATAAAAAACAATACAATGACACAGGGTGGACGTTCCTAATTTAAAAGGGACCAATGGGGGCTGGAGAGATGGCTCTGCGGTAAAGAGCATTGCCTGCTCTTCCAAAGGTCCTGAGTTCAATTCCCAGCAACCACATGGTGGCTCACAACCATCTGTAATGAGGCCTGGTGCCCTCTTCTGGCCTGCAGGCATACACACAGACAGAATATTGTATACATAATAAAAAATATTTTAAAAAATCTTTTAAAAAAAAGGGACGAATGGGGTGTAGCAAGGGAAATTTGGACCGAAGCCAGCAGAGCAAACACCAAATCCTGCAGCTCTCTGTTTAGCACCTGGTGCTACAATGTTCATCTGGGCTCGAAAAGTTGTGCTGTTATATAGAACACACATAGGTTCTCTCTCGGGCCAACTCCATCCCATGTCTACATCTATGTTCAGTAGAGATGTCATGGTCCTAGGGTCGTCTTCACAGCTTCACACAAGGGCGGCTCAGTCATTGCTGCAGCTCCACGACACTTTGTTGTCTCAGTGCAGATAAGAGGTTTCTCTTTAATGGCACTCATCTCTTTATCAATAAGACGTGTTTATGACCTGCACTCTCCTTGTTCACAGCTCTGATCTGTGCGCCCTTTCTTGCCAGGCTTCACGGTTTTCTCTCTTCTACTCCTCTCGCTGCAGACGTGGATGAAAGCAGTGAGCAATAAAGAGCTTCATGTTTTCCTGCTCTGAAATTTCCTTTGCTAAACAAATTAGCCCATGACTTTTTAAAATGTGCATTGGTGTGAAGGTATCAGGTCCCCTGGAACTGGATTTTCAGACAGTTGTGAGCTTCCATGTGGGTGCTGGGAATTGAACCTGGGTCCTCTGGAAGAGCAGTCAGTGCTCTTAACCTCTGAGCCATTTCTCCAGTCCAGCCCATGACTTTTTAATTCAGCTTTTCTCACGTGCCAAGAATTGGCAGAATATAGCCAAATTATTTGCCAGAATAAAACCTGAATGGCCTTCATCATGGTTCCCAATAGAATCCCTGCTCATCTCTGAATCTTCATGAGCCAAGCCTCTCCAGTCTGCATTTTTCTCTGCTTCTTTGTCTTCAGACTCCCACAGAGGAGCCTATAAAGCTCTTCTCAGCACATTTAAAGGCCTTTCTGGCCCAAATTTCAAAGTATTTTTTCCACTTCCTTCTCCCAAATTAGTTTCAAAAACCTAAGAACCTTATAGTCAGGCTTATAGACACTGCCCCACTCCTGGTACTGGTTTCTCTTAGCTACTCTCTGTTGCTGTGATAAAAATACTCTGGGAAAAAAAATCAGTTTAGCTGGGTGGTGGTCCCAGCACTTGGGAGGCAGAGGCGGGTGATCTCTGAGTTTGAGGCCAGCCTGGTCTACAGAGCAGTTCCAGGACAGCCAGGACTGTTAAACAGAAAAACCCTGTCCCAAAAAACCAAAACAAACAAAAGGTCAACTTAGACGTGGGTGTGCTGGCAAACTCAGAGGAGCAGAGGCAGGCGGATCTCTGAGTTCTGGCCAGCCTGGTCTACATAGAGGTTTCCAGGACAGCCAGGGCTATTGTAAGAGATCTTGTCTCAAAAAAGCAACCAACCAACAGAAAGGAAACGTAACAGATGAAGGGCTTATTTTGGCTTACAGTGTCAGTAAGATACAGTCGGGCAAAGCATGATGGCAGCAACACAGGAAGCGTGTACTCCTCGTGACACACTTCTTCCCAGCAGGGCTCTGCCTTCTAAAGGTTCCACACCTTCTCAAGCAGCTCCCTCAACAAGGAGGCCCATTGTTCAAATGCATGGATGAGGGGGATTTCACATTCAAACTACAGCATTGGTGCCTCGGATTCTCAGGACCAAGGCCAATTTGGGTTTGGTAAAGTGCATAGAATCGCCCGTCTTCCTTGCCCTCGGGCCTCTGTACATCTGGGTGTTCCTTGTGGTAGTACATGCGTTTTCACGGTAAGCGTCTTCTTTGTGTTCTGGGGCAGCTTTTGGGGACATTTCTTTTCAAGAGCTTTCCTTTCAACTAATGGTTTCTGACACAGTAGGAGCCCCTTTTCCTTCTCTTTGGCACCTCCATGATTACAGCCAGAAAAAAGCAGCATGAAATTTCTTCAGACCTCAGTTTCTCCATCTGTCTAATGGAAAGCATATGTCCCTATCTTTACTCTGGAAAGTTAGGCAGGAATGTCACCAGTTGAAGAGCAGCATAAGCAATGGGAAGGCAGACAGACCTCCTGCCTCTGCCTCTCAAATGTTGGATAAAAGGTATATCACTGTGTCCAATAATGCTGCATTAAAACAGTAGTGACTGTGGGCCTTGTGTCAGCAAGTCTGCAGTTCTCACTCCCTGAGACAGTGCAGGAAGATAGCAAGTTCAAGGCCTGCCTGGCAGTTTCATAAGATCTTCTCTAAAAGGCAAAAGAAGGGCTGGGATAAAGGCTTAATGGGAGGGCGCTTACCTAATATGTGAAAGGTGCTACCTAGGTCCGTGGTTCTCAACCTTCCTAATGCTGCAACTCTTTAATACAGTTCCTCCATGCTGTGGTGACCCCCAACCATAAAATTATTTTGTTGCTACTTCCTAACTGTAATTTGGCTACTGTTATGAATCATAATGTAAATATCTGATATGCAAAATATCTGATATTCAACCCCTGTGAAAGGGTTGTTCGACTCACAAAGGTCTTGACACACAGGTTGAAAACCACAGCCATGTGTTCAATACTCAGTGCCTCCAAAATGATGATGATGATGATAAGTGATACCTACACTGTGTGTTTATTGAAAGGATTAATTTACCGTAGAATGTGCTGCACATAGTGCTTGCCTTTATAAGGGATCAGTATCTGCAGCTACTGTTTTATTATTTTATGAAAATTATTATGGTTGCCTCTCTTGTAGTTTGCTTTCCATTGCTGTGATAAACACCATAACCAAAAGCAACTTGGTGGGGAAAAGGGTTTATTCCATATTCCAGGTTTATTCCATCATCCAGGGAAATCAGGGTGGGAATTCAAGCCAGGAACTTGGAGGCAGGATCTGGAAGCAGAGGCCATGGAAGGGTGCTTCTTACTGGCTTGCTCCTCCTGGCTTGCTCAGCCTGCTTTCTTACAGAACTCAGAACCATCTGCCCAGGAGTGGCACCACCCACAGTGGACTGGGCCCTCCCACATCCATCATTAATAGAAAAAATGCTCCAGTTATGCCCACAGAGCAGTCTAAAAGAGATATTTTCTCAATTGAGGTTCCCTCTTCCCAGATGACCCTAGTTTGTGCCAAGTTGACAAAACAAAAAATAAAGACAATAGGGCTGGAGAGATGGCTCAGGGGTTAAGAGCACTGGCTGCTCTTCCAGAGGTCCTGAGTTCAATTCCCAGCAACCACATGGTGGCTTACAACCATCTATAATGAGATCTGGTGCCTTCTTCTGGCGTGCGGGCATACATGGAGGCAGAATGTTGTATACATAATAAATAAATAAATCTTTAAAAAAAATAAAGTTCAATTGAACCAGTGAAATTTTTATTTTTACTAAGAAAAAATTCTCAAAGAGCTTGTTACAGACACCACATTTTTTGTCTGTCTGTGTTTATCTGTCTGTTTTGAGAGAGTCTTACTCTTGCTGTCTTGTAACTCACTGTGTAGCTCAGGCTGTCCTCAAAGTCATGGTAATTTCCCTGTCTCAGCTTCCGGTTCATTCGCTCTTACACATTAGGGTTGATTTCCTCTTGCTCCTGCAGACCCATGGACTTAACAACCCTGAAGAGGAACCTGTCCAAGGGACGCATTCACACCATGGCTGAGTTCCAGCGGGACCTGATGCTGATGTTCCAGAATGCTGTGATGTACAACGACTCTGACCATCACATCTACCATATGGCCGTGGAGATGCAGCGTGAGGTCTTGGAGCAGATGCAGGTACTGTGACAGTGCCATAAGAGTGGGGAATCGGATGTGAGAAGCCTGTGAGACTAAAGTGATGTAGAGGGAGTGGCCTTGTGTTCAGAGATGACTGGAGGATCCTCGGGATTGGTAAACTCCAGGTCTTCCCTGTCTTAGAAGGTCCAGATTTATGCCCGGTGGCAAGAGGTTATCTGGGAAGGCCAGCAGCAAGACAGCAGGGACTGAGCAAGTAATGGGAACTTCTGCTTTCAGAGGCCCAGGTTGTAAACTTAAAAGCAAGTCAAGTGCTGGATCCCCTGTCCATGTCCTGGCTGCTACAGCTGCAGTAATGTAACTCACGTCCATTAGCAAATAATGTACGTGAATAGTTGCCGCCTTTGAAGGATGGGTATAGTAAGGTCAAGGAGACGTGAGGATTTCTCTTTGAGGAAAATCACACTTTAGTGATAAAATAGATGGGTTTTTTCCCTATAAAATAGATGAAATTGCACTTTCTCCTATGTGGCTTTAAGGTTCTTAGTTTGTGTCTGGCCTTGCTCCTGTAGGTGCTGAGTACTTGGTTAGACAAACGGAAGGACTTGAGCAGTCTGGAGTGAGCCTGCTAGTCCAGTGGGTGAAGCCTGGAACTACAAGTCTGAGTCTACAACAGTTTATTGCTCTCCTGAAAACTGGCCAGAGAAGATCTGAAGACTTCCTTCTTCTCCATCACCTTCCCTAATAAGGATAATAAGCCTTACTTCCTTACTGAGAAGTCAATGGTGCTTGCAGCTGTAATACTTTAAAGGGGTGGGGTGGGGTGGGGTGCTGAGATCCAGATTTATGATGTAAATATTTCCCATATTTTTGTTGCATAGATTTAGAAGTGATTTAATTGAACCTTTGCTTCTTTATAAATAAATATTTTACAAGCCAAAGATTTTGTTTGGTTTTTGAGCCAGGTCTCAAAACATTTAACCCAGGCTTTCCTGGAAATCTCTATAACATCCAGCCTCTACCTCCAATGGAATACTGGATTAGAGGTATGTGCCCCCAGACCTTACAAAGACTGTTTCAAATAATTAAAGAAGCCCGAAGAGAGAGCACAGCATCAAGTGGTGAAACGAAGACGGTATTTGCTGGGGATGGCCCAGTGTTGAGCGCTTGTCTAGCATGGGCCCCGGGGTTGATCCCAGCACTAACACCATCACCTCCTGGGGGGGGGGGGGGGAGGGAGAGGGAGGGAGAAAAGAGAAGTAGCGTCAAGAAATAAGCTTGACATTAATCTTTCACATGGTGTCTGGGAGGGGTGAAGCCGACTGAGAGGAGTGTCTGATTTATCTCATTAAAAAAGTGTGAATAAATCAAGCATTCTTCAAGTAGGTACGAGGATGAAAATCAATTAGCGGGGAGCTGGCACTACGGCTCAGTGGGTAAAGAGGCTTGCATACAAGCCCGGCCACGAGGTCCATCCCTGGAAACCGCAAACACGGAAAGACTTGATTACACGAAGTTATTTTCTTACCTCCACATTACACACAATAAAATTCTCATTGCTAATTTCTGCCCTAGATTTAAAACAAACTAGAGCCTGAAAAACGCTGCTGGGATTGGCCCTCTGCAGCCACCGTTGAAAAAGCAGCTTCAGGTTTCTTAGCAACGGGTTTTGGCAACACCTGAAAGGAGGTGAGAGCCGGGAGGGTATAGCCCGGAGATTTCCTAAGGATTTGGGGACCCTGCGTTGCGGTCACGTCTAAGCCTGTGCAAGGTAGTTCCCGAGGGGTGGGGGCCCCTCGCTAGGGCAGCGGGCTAGAGCCTTCCCTACCCACTGATGGCGCCATCCAGCCTCCAGCCTCCAGCCTCCAGCCTCAGTGAAGCGGCCAGGGTTCCACTTGGGCTCTGTACAAGTCATATTCTTCAAGACTGCTTGTAGGAAGGCATGGCAGTTTCCATTTTCACAAATTAATCAACCCTAGCGCCAAATATTGCCTCGGGTTGAATTTGGGACCGGGACGTGTCATTGCAGTGGATATCTGGTCAGAGATTAGTGAATTATACCGGGAAACGCCAGAATGGAGGTGTCAATGCCCCTGCCTCAGATATATGTAGAAAAAACCCTAGCCCTTATCAAGCCAGATATTGTTGACAAAGAAGAGGAGATACGCGACATTATTCTCAGATCTGGATTCACCATCATTCAGGTAACTTACGGCGTCTCTTTATTAGTCTGCACTATATGTATATACATGTACCCATCCACTTAGATCCGTGGTAAGCTTACATTTCTAAACATAAAGGTTATATGTAAGCTGGTCAGGTAGGCACATGCCTGTAATCTCGGTCCGGGGGAGGTGGAGGCAGCAGGGTCAGGAGTCCAGCTCTGCAGTGACTTCAGAGTTGACAGGTCTGCCTGTTCTGTGAGACCTGTCTCAAAAACAAGCAAGTTACTTGTAATAGCTAAGTTTTCCACATTTCCGAAAGATGCAACATAAGACACAAAAGAAGCCAGATTGTTCTTTCCGTCCCTTAACTTCTCCACGTCAGGTCAAGAGAGAGAAAATGGCTTACTGCATTGTCATCTCCCAGGGGTTTCTCTGCGTTTGAAACATTTCCCCACAAGAGGAAGTGATCCTCTCTGACTTCCTCACGGAGTCTCTTTGGTAAAGTTCTGGATCATTATATTGTAGTCTACTTATCCCTTCTAAGGCATGTTCAATACTCCTGTGTGTAGTCGGGTTCTCTAGTGTTGGGAGGGTTTTTGTTTGTGTGTTTGTTTTTAAAACAGGGTTTCTCTTTGTAGCCCTGGTTGTCCTGGAACTCACTCTGTAGACCAGGCTGGCCTCAAACTCAGAGATCCGCTTGCTTCTACCTTCTTAGTGTTGGGATTAAAGGTGTGCGCCACCACTGCCCAGCAAACACTTAATGTTTTTTAAAGATTTCTTTATTTATTATGTATACACTATTCTTGGTATTCTGAATGTATGCCTGCAAGCCAGAAGAGGGCACCAGATCTCATTTCAGGTGGTTGTGAGACACCATGTGGTTGCTGGGAATTGAACTCAGGACCTTTGGAAGAGCAGGCAGCGCTCTTAACCACTGAGTCATCTCTCCAGTCCCCACATTTAATGTTTTAAGACCGATATTTGTTCTGCAGTTGGTAAACATGTTAAGGAGGCCAGGCTCTCCAGAGGACATTGAGAGGTCAGTTTGTATTACACAGGGAGTCCTGGGCCAGCCTGGGGTATGGGGACCTGAGGTACAGGGGACTCGGGCACTGGAAGTGGTGGTGTAAGCCTGTGACCCCAGCACTAGGTAGGGTAAGACTGGAGAATCTTGAGTTTCCCACCATCTTGGCCTTCACAGAGTTCCTAACTGTCCTCTAGAATGACAAGGTCTCCAACTAAGGACAAAATGTATGAATATACCACAGAGAACATAATATTTTGTTGAATTTTACTTGAGTTACTAGGTTTTTATCCTTTTAAATGTATATCGCTTAGTGCAGTGCTCTTATTCCAAACACTGCTGAGGCAGAGGCAGGCGGAGCTCTGTGAGTTCGAAGTCAGCCTGATCTTTACAGCAAGTTCCTGGCGAGCCCGAGATACACAGTGACCCTGTCTTAAATGTTCTCATACAGAACCAAGCATAATGACACACACCTTTACTCCCAGCACTCAGGAGGCAGAGGCAAGCATAACTCTGTGAGTTCGAGGTCAGCCTGGTCTATATTAGTGAGTTCCAGGACAGCCCGAGCTACAGAGTGAGACTCTGTCTCAAAAACAACAACAACAACAGAAATTATACGGTTTTAGATTGTCATCATATATCTATTTTGTCAGTGTTTTAAAGAAAACTGAGCTGGGGAGGGGGGGTTTGGCACAGTGTTTGCTGAGCGAGCTCAAGGACCTGAGTGTGAATCCCCAGCAACCGTGTGAAAGCGAGGTGAGGTGGCAGACACTCATATGTAATCCCAGTGCTGGGGATATAGGGGGCCTCCTGGAGCTTTTGAACCCACTAGGCTTGACAAGTTGGTGAGCTTTGGGTTCAGTGGGAGATCTAAGTGGTGAGCAAGTGAGGCCAGCACCCAGTGTGGAGCTCTTGGTCTACATGTATGAGACCTGCACCCCCACGTATGTGTATATACACGTGAACACAGACATGCATATCACAGACACACACACACACACATACACACACACACACATACACGTGGTGTGGAGGGGGGACTTTGTCTTTGTTTTTCCTTTCCCTTTGTTTTGGAAGAGATCCATTACATCAATTGTACCATACTGTTTTTAGGGTACAGCGCAGTGGTGTTCACTGCCTTCACGTGGTTTTGTGACCCTCACCACTATTCATCTGTAGTTTTTCAACATGAAGCGTGAACTTATTTTTAAAAGGGGTGAAGTGTGTTTCCATCTCCCCAGCCCCTGAACCACTAGCCTACTTCCCGTCCCAAGGCTTGGGCTCCCGCAGCTGTTTCTTAGTGACCTTGCAGGGCACTTGTGAGGTTCCTTCGCGGAACAGGCTCTGAACTTTTCTCTTGCCAGCAGGTGGCAGCCTTTTCTTTGTCACAGACTGAGTTCTGTGCCACACTGGTAGAGTTTTCACCAGATTCCCGGCTGTCAGTCAGGCTTGAACTCACAGATTTCATTTTTAAAGCAACCAATAAGATCATTAGTTTTGTGTCAACTTTAAAGATGGACTCTAAATTTTTAAAATTATGCTGCGGGAACCAACAAACCTGCAGAAGGGGCACGTGTGGGGCTTGCCTGTGTCTGGGGAGGAAGGCAGCAGAGTGTACTGGCAGAGACGGGCCACACGTGAGTGAGGCCTGCCTGAGGCACACAAGACCCCATCTCAGAACAGACAAACAGCTTCACTGGGCATGGTGGAGGGAGGAGAGTAGTGTGAGACCTAAGCTTCTTGGGAGCTGGCTGCAGAGTTTATCAGAATATTCTTCTCTACACCCTATAATACCATGTCTGGAGCTAAACTCATATCTCAGTTATTTGCTGTTGTTGTTGCTGTTGTTGTTGTTGTTGTTGTTGTTGTTGTTGAGACAGTGACTTATTCTGCAGCCCTAGCTGACCTCACTATGCCGACCAAGTGTGCCTGATGGCTGGTTGTCTGTGTACGTGTGCCTGCACAGGGGCATGGATGGCCAGGTTACTGTGCACATGTGCCCGCACAGGGGCATGGCTGCCAGAAGAGGGAGTTTGGTGGGTACCTGCTGGTAATGTAGGTGCTCGGATCCAAACTCTACTCCTCATAATGCTCAGCAAACACTCTTTAAAAACATGTTTGTATATTTGTGTGTATGTACATGTACATGCACAGTGTATGTGTTTCAGTCTGAAAACCTAGGGAATCAGGTCTCTCTTCCCAGCACGTAGTTCTGGCGATTGAACTAAGAACTCAGCCTTGGCAGCAAGCATGCTTCCCCATGGAGCCATCTCAGCAGCCTAGGGATCTTATTTTTTTCTTAAGTTGGATAAATATAAATACCTCCCTCTGAGCATATTTAATTTAATTATCATTTCTGTATAATAATACAAAGATAATTACAGGCATGAGCTGTCATGTCTGGCAAGTTATTAATGACTTAATGAGCCTTATTGAACAGTCACTTTAATTGCTTTGGTTGACTTTGTTTTGTTTACAGAGACGGAAACTACATCTGAGCCCTGAGCATTGTAGTAACTTTTACGTGGAACAGTATGGGAAATTGTTTTTCCCAAACTTAACAGCTTATATGAGCTCTGGACCTCTTGTGGCTATGATATTAGCCAGACATAACGCCATCTC